GCTACTTGGAAGGCTGAGGCGGAAGGAACACCGGAGCCCAGCAGATGGAGGCTGTGGTGGCCGGAAGTGTGCCACTGCACTCCAGTCTGGGCGACAGAGTGAGACTCTAACTCAAAAAAAAAAAAAAAAAAAATCAACAAAGTTGACTAAGCAGACTGACCTAGAAAAAGAGAATAATAATACGTATATTACTAAAATTAGGAGTGAAAATGGGGATGGCACTACCAACCTTGCATAACTAAAAAGGATTATAAGAGAATATTATGAGCAACTACATGCCAACAAATTGGATAACCAAAATTTAACAAATTCCTAAAAACACACATATTACCAGAACTGATTCAAGAATAGAAAGTCTATCCTTAACAAATGAAGACATTGAGTCAATAATCAAAAAATTTCTGACAAAGAAAACCCTTGAACTAGATGGCTCTATTCCATCAATTGTTTGAAGAAAAATTAACATCAATTCTTCTTAAACTCCTCCAAAAAATAGGACAGAACACTTCCTAACTCATTCTGTGAAGCAACTACCCTGATACCAAAGCCAGACAGAGACATCACCATGACCAAGTGAGATTTATCTCAGGAATGAAATTGGATCAAAATATAGAAATCATTTAATGTAATATATCATAGTAATAAAGGAAAAAAATTCACATGATCATCTCAATAGACACAGAAGGATCTGACAAAATCCAATACCTTTCATGATTAAAAAAAAAAAAACAAAAAAACTCAACAAACTAGGAATACAAAGGACCTTATTCTACCTGATAAAGGGGATCCATGAAAAACCCATCGCTAACATCACACTAATGCTGACTCAAAGCTTTTCCCTAAAATCAGGAACAAGAAAAAGATGTCCACTCTCACTAACTATTTCTGTTCAACTAAAACTATTTCCTGTAGGTCTATCTAACATGATCTTATACATAGAAAACTCTAAAAAATCTGCAAAAAAAACTCTGAAACTACTAGAGCTAATCAGTGAGTTCAGCAAATTTGCAGGATACAAGATCAGTATGCAAATTTTAGTTGCATATACACTAGCAATGATCAATCTGAAAAGGAAATTTTAAAAAACAATTCATTTACACTGGCATCAAAAAGAACAAACACTTGAGAAAACAGAAAAGGAAGAGCAAGTTAATTAACTTGGGATTAAATTTAATTAAGGAAGTATAAGACTTGAACACTGAAGACTATAAAGTATATATATATATGTTTGAGTCAGAGTCTCACTCTGTTGCCCAAGCTGGAGTAGCATGTTTACAGCCACCACAGCCTTGACCTGCTAGGCTCAGGTGATCCTTCCACCTAATGCCACCACATCTGGCTACATCCAAAACTTTTTGAGCACCATGGTGATACCACAAGTTGAAAATTCCACACCTAACACATTGGCTTTCTGATGGTTCAACATATGCAAACTTTGTTCCATGCACAAAATTATTAAAATGTTGTATAAAGTTACCTTCAGGCTATGTGTGTAAGGTATATATGGAACATAAGTTAATTTCATGTTTAGATTTGGGTCTCATCATTATGTATACGCAAATATTCTAAACACCAAAAAAACAAAAAAAAAATCCAAAATCCAAAACACTTCTGGTTCCAAGCACTTCAGATAAGAAATACTTAATCTGTATTAAAATGAACCTACTCCTCCAATTAATATACAGATTCAGTGTAATCCTGATTAAAATTCCAAATTCCTTTTTGCAGAAATGGATAAGATGATCCTAAAATCAGACAGAAACACAAAGGACCACAAGTAACCAAAACACTCTTGAGAAAGAGCAAACTTGGAGAACTCATACGTTCCGATTTCAAAATTTACCACAAAGCTATAATAATCAAAACAGTGTAGTAGTGACATAAGCATAGACAAATACATCAATGGAACAGAACTGAAAGCCCAGAAATAAACCCATACATCTATGACTAATTTATTTTCAATAGGGTGCTAAGACCATCCATTTGGAAAAGTTGTCTTTTCTACAAACTGTACTGGAAAAACTGGATATCCACATGCAAATTATTGAACCTGGTTCCCTAACTCACACCACATATTCACTCAAAATAGACCAAAGATCTAAATGTAAGAGTCAAAACCTGTAAGACCGTCATAAGAAAACGTAAGTATAAATCTTCATGATGTTGTATTAGGCAACAGTGTCTTAACCTGACACCAAAAACAGAAGTAACAAAAAACAGATAAACTGGAATTCATCGAAATTAAAAACTCTTGTGTAACAGTTATCATAATACTGTTATCATAAAACTCTTGTGAAACAGTTATCATAATATCATAAGAAAGGGATTGGTAGCAGTGAGAAACTGCCAGCAGAGGAAGAGGGGGCACTTCCTCCTCATCAATAAGAGTACCTGATTGCAAACCAGGTGAAGTGGGGAACAGTGAAGTCCAAACTTCACCTACACAATGACCAATTTTATACCTAATCCTACATCTTTAAAATTAAAAAAAAAAAAACAACTTTTGTGCATTCAAGAACACTATCAAAATCAAGAAAAGAATGAAATTTTCTCCCATAGAATGGGAGAAAATATTTGCAAATCAGATATCTAACATGGTTCTAGCATCCAGAATATAAAAAGAACTACTACAATTCAAAAATTTAAAAAGTAGTTAAAATATAGATAAGACATAGATATTTCTATATTGTGAACATCAATACAATTCTAAGCACATAAGGAAAAAAAAGAAATTATTAATTAGCATTTGAAAAATATGCTCCACATCATAAGTTATTATTGAAATGTAAATCAAAAGCAAAATGAGACACTTCAGATACACTATAATTAAAGAGAAGACATTAAGTGTTAGCAAGGATGTAGAGAAATTAGAACCCTCATAAATTGCTGGTGGGAATATAAAATAGTACAGTACCTTGTAAAAACACTTGACAATCTCTCAAAAAGTTAAACAGAGTTACCATATGCCCAAGTAATTCCATTCCCATATATCTAAAATACTGAAAACATATGGTCACACAAAAACTTGTGCAAGAATGTACATAGCAACATTGTTCATAATAGTCAAAAAGTAAGAACAACCTAAGTGTCCATTAATGGATGAATGGATATACAAAATGTAGTACAATAATTTACTACATTTTACAGTATTTCACACAATGGAAAATTATTCAGCAATAAAAAGGAATAAAACACTGATACATGTTACACTATGGAGCAACTTTTAAAACATTATGCTAATTGAAAGAAGACAGGCTGGGTTCGGTGGCTCAGCCTGTAATCCCAGTGCTTTGGGAGGCCAAGGTGAGTGGATTGCCTGAGCCCACGGGTTCGAGACCCACCTGGGCAACTTGGTGAGACCTCATCTCTACAATAAATCAAAAATTAGCCGGGCGTAGTAGTGTGCACCTGTAGTTCCAGCTACATGGAAAGCTGAGGCGGAAGGATCACCTGAGCCCAGCAGGTCAAGACTGCAGTGGCTATGAATGTGCCACTGCACTCCAGTCTAGGTGACCGAGTGAGACTCCAACTCAAAAAAAAAAAAAAAAAGAAGACAGACCCAAAGGACCACATATTATATGATTATATTTACAAGAAATTTTTTAAAAAGGCAATCCACAGACACAGAATGTAGATTAGTGGTTGCTAGGGAATGGGGGAGAAAGAAATGGGGAGTGACTGCCAAGTGGTACAGAGTTTTTTTCCCTGTGGTGATAGAATGTTCTGGAATAGATAAAGGTGATTGTTTGCACAACTTGTGAATATACTAAAATCACTGAACTGTATTCTTCAAAATGGTTAAAGTGATTAATTTAATGTTATGCAAATTTTATCTCTACTAAGTCTACCTACAAAAACGTGAATCACCTAAACAAGAGAAAGGATCAGGCTGGCCTCAGATTTCTATATAATAACACCGCCCCCTAACTTTTAACTTTGAAAACTCACAAATCTACCGAAAAACTGAAAGACAGGTACAATAGCCATATACCATTAATTTGCCTCATCTAGTTAGATGTGTGTGTTTACTTATCTTTATGTAGTTGTTTGCTGTTTATTTAGGTTTTTAAGCTAAGTTACAGATATCATTTCAACACATTTCTTCTACAAACAAGGATACTCTCCTACAAACCAAAATATTAACATCACACCCAAAAAATTTGACAGTGATACAAAAATTGTATTGTTCCAATAACATCCTTTGTAGTTCCTTAACTCTATGATCTAATAAAAGATCACGCATTGCATGTAGTAATTAGGCCTCTCATATTCTTCAATACAGAATAGCTCCCCTATTTGTCTTTCACAACATTAACATTTTCTTTAAAACCCTTAAAGACATATTAGAATATAATGTCCTATGCTATAATAATATAAATAATAAAAATTGGTAGTTGAAATCAGGGGAGATGCAAAGAAGTCTGGGATTGCTAATCTATTCCTCTTTCATAGAAAGGAGTCAACAGTTACTGTCTACAATTTAAGCATATGTAGTTTTCAAGAAAATAATGACTCCAGTTACTTACTATTTTTAATAATTTTAAAGAGGAATTTTAAGAAATATTATTGCTTGGCCATTGCTTTGTTAAACTCTGGTGTGTCCAGAGTTTTTTTTTGAGCTATGGCTATCATGCTTCCTAACTTCGGCCCCTCCCCAACCTTGGTGAGGTGAATCTCCTCTCTCTAATTTACTTTCTAAATAAACTATGTTTTCCAACCTAAAAAAAAAAAGAATATATATATATATATACACATATATATAATTTCTTGAGGTAAAGAATATTTCACTTAAGTTCATTAAACTTAAATTGCTGCTTTTTCAAATTAAACTAATTAATTTATATTTCTGAAATACACTGATGATAGTTTTTAGTCAAATATTTAAGTTTTACTTCAGGAAAAGACATAATGAATATCAATTAATCCTGAATTGTACCCCACATCTTTTAAATAAATAAATAAACAAATAAATAAATAAAAAGAAAATCGATGAGACATACCTGATTCATACAACTCTTCTTCCACTGATAGCCCAACTTCTCACAAGTCTCTTTCAGACATTGATAAGATTTGTCTGCATCCAATTTGGTAAAGAATCGTGTCATTCTTTTGACCAAGCGCTGCCAGGGGTTCTACATGTCATACAGAAAAAAACTGAATAAATATACTATGACTAAAAGCAACCATATCAGAGATACTTAAGTCTAAAAATTCTTTTCTATTTACTTAAAATTACTTTTGATGAAGGCATCCTCTAATTCTTTCTTTCTTGTTCAAAAATGTATATAATTTAAAAGTTAGGGCCAGGCTCAGTGGCTCAGCCTATAATGCCAGCACTTTGGGAGGGCGAGGTGAGGGGATTGCCTGAGCTCACGGGTTTCAGACCCACCCGGACAACTTGGCAAGACCTCATCTCTACAATAAATAAAAAAAAAATTAGCTGGGCATGGTAGCATGTGCCTGTAATTGTTACTTGTAAGGCTGAGGTAGAGAGCCCAGCAGGTCAGCGCTGTGGTGGCCGGGACCGTGCCACTGCACTCCAGTCTGGGCGACAGAATAAGACTCCAACTCAAAAATAAATAAATAAATAAATAAATAAATAAATAAAATAAAAGCTATACACCTAAGATTTACACATAAAAAAGACTTCAAGACAATAAAAAAAGCCGGGCACAGTGGCTCAAGTCTATAATTCCAGCACTTTGGGAGGCAGAGGCAAGAGGATTGCCTGAGTTCAGGGGTTCAAGATCAGCCTGTGCAACAAGGCGAGACCTCGTCTCTACAAAAATCAAAAAACTAGTCACAAAAATTAATGTGGTGGCACATGTCAGTGGTTCTAACTACTTGGAAGGCTAAGGCAGAAGGATCACCTGAGCCCAGTAGGTCAAGGCTACGGAGGCCATGAGCCTGCCACTGCCCTCCAGCCAGGGCAACAGAGTGAGATTCCAACTAAAAAAAAAAAAAAAAAAAGACAATAAAAAAACAAATGGCTGCCATTATTTATTTGAAAAATAAAATTCCCTTACCTGTGATGATCCTGGGGTTCCAAGGAACTGACTATTCAGAAGCATATGATCAGGACATGTGGGTTGGGAAAAACTGATCCCTTGTACCAGTTTATCAATGTATGAGGAATTGGTATCCCATAGAGAAAGACCTGTCCGTGGTTCTGGCTGGGAACTGGAGTACTTCACATTTTCTTCACTGAGGCATTAAGACAGAGGAGAAAATATGTCTTTAGTAAAATAAAATCTGTTAGGCCTTTCTTATACCACACAACCATTCTCAAACTGATAAAATTATATTAAGAAAAATATACAGGCCAAGCATGGTGGCTTATGCCTATAATCCCAGCACTTCGGGAGGCCGAAGTGAGAGGACTGCCTGAGCCCACGGGTTTGAGACCAGCCTGGGCAACCTGGTGAGACCTCATCTCTACAATAAATCAAAAAATTAGCCAGGCGTAGTGGCACGTGCCTGTAGTTCCAGCTACTTGGAAGGCCGAGGCAGAAGGATCACCTGAGCCCAGCAGGTCAAGGCTGCAGTGGCTGTGAGCGTGCCATTGCACTCCAGCCTGATTGACAAAGTGAGACTCCAACTCAAAAAAGAAAGAAAAAAAACATACATGTATTATTCTTCATGGGAATAATACATTCAATAACTACTTAATCTTTATTAGTCTTACCTAGAAGCGCTGGTTACTGGAGAAAAGTCCAAATTGGATTGAATGTGCTTAGAGAATCCACTGGGAGATTCCGATACACCACCTGAAGTGACTCGGGGCCTCTTTGCCCCTAAAAAAGCAAACACAGACAAATGCTTTCAAGTCTTCTATGCAGACATTTTTTAATTGACCCAACTACTGCTAACTTGAAGAAGTAAAACTAAGCCTAAATCCATTTATTTAACATAAAATATTTATAAGACAAATATTGACTCTTCTTATATAATTTTATAAGAAATGTGGTTAAGTTTTAAGCTAAAACTCTTTTGTTAAATTAGGTATTTCACGAATTGTGACCTATGGTACGTTCCAAGTGTGGGTACCATGCTCAGGCCACAATTTTAGTGGCGCCTTTTATGGGTAACAGAACAATGTTCTATGAAGATAGAGAGACCTGGCTAAAGAACCAGAACTTTTTAAAATAAAAAATAATTTATAATGATGATAATAAACATTATGAATGTGCTCTATCCAACATTCTTTCCTCCCCTGGAAAAGCTTTACCAAGATTATACAGAAAATAATGCTTTATAAATTCATGATTACAATCCTCAGCTGGACTCTCAACACTGTGAGACAATCTTTGTTTCTCTAGTCAGTTTCCTCTCCCTTTCTCCACAGGACTATTTCCAAACTTTTACACTTTTCCTAAATTCCCGAGACCACTGTCCATCACCTCATTACTTAGCATATAATACCATCTCCCATTTCAGAGAGAAAATAAAGCCATTAGACAGAAACTGTCTCAACTTGTCACTATCAAACCTGCTAATGTACCTGCATGCCTATCCATCCTTTCCTCCCTTCCATCCTATCAAACGTTCATCCCTCTACTTGTGCTATGGAGCCCATATGTTTCTACTTCCCTGGGGATCTTGATGCTCTGTTATTTATTCCCTTTCTCTTAGACTGTTAGCCTATTACTCTCTAGTGGATCTGTCTACTAATACACCACTTAAACACCCTTAAGTTTTGCCAGTCTTTTTATTGATTAATCCATTCACTCAAATGTTTTATTAGGCCTACTATGTGCCAGGCATTATTCTAGGTATTAGGTATTCAGCAGTGAACAAATAGACAAAAACTTGTGGTCTCTTAAATCCTACGTTTTACTAAGAAGAAACAAAATAAAATGTGAATGATCAGATAAAATAAGTGGAGGTCTGAGAACTGACTGAATTCCCTCTTATCCACAAGGAATATGTTCTAATAGATGTTTAAAACTGCAAATAGTGCCAAATCCTATATACTATAACCTTTTGATCTGATAACCAAACAGCTACTAAGTGACTAATGGGTGGGTAGCACATACAGCATGGATATGCTAAACAAATGAATGATTCACATACCAGGTGAGACAGAGGAGGGACAGTATAAGATTTCATCTTATTACTCAGAATGACATCCATTTTTTTTTTTTTTGAGTTGGAGTCTCACTCTGTCGCCTAGACTGGAGTGCAGTAGCACGCTCCCAGCCACCGCAGCCTAGCCCTGCTGGGTTCCAGCGATCTTTCTGCCTCAGTCCTCCAAGTAGCCAGAACTATAGGCACACACTACCATGCCTGGTTAATTTGTGATTTATTGTAGAAACGAGGTCTCGCCAAGTTGCCTGGGTGGATCTCGAACCTGCAGGCTCAGGCAATCCACTTGCCTCGGCCTCCTAAAGTGCTGGGATTACAGGCTGAGCCACTGAGCCCAGCCAGACATCTGATTTTAAATCTATGCATTATTTATTTCTGGAATTTTCCATGTAATGTTTTCGGGCCATGAGTGACTGCAGGTAACTGAAACTACATTTAATGGGGAATAATATTGAACTTGGCAACATAAGTCACCATGACTTTTGACAAGAGTAGATGGTAAAAACTTTGAAACTAGTTTTGAGATGTTTGAAATTAGGGAACTCTTTTGAGATGTTCTTGCAAAAGAAAGAGATGGAATGGTAAGAAAAAATGGGGTCAAGAGAAGTTGGCTTATATCTGGAGCAATCTATCCACATTAACAGGGAACAAAGTAGAATATATGAATATAGAGACAGTCAGGTGGGTAGGGATGGTGGTGGGTGGTTGTGTAAGTTCCCTCCTGGAGGATTCTATCCCCCAGTGAAATAGAAAACACACCGGGCTCGGTGGCTCAGCCTGTAATCCCGTGCCTTTGGGAGGCTGAGGTGAGTGGAATGCCTGAGCCCATGGGTTCGAGACCTGCCTGGGCAGCA